CCTAATGAAACTTACCATTTGAAAGATTTAGATGGCACGAAGTATATGAGATTTATTAATGGTAAATATTTGAAAAAATTTGTTCCTTCCATATGGGAAAGTGAACAAATAGAATAAAATTATATGCATGAGTAAACAAATAAAATGAGTTGGACGATTATATCTAAATAAAATAAGAGCGAAACACATTCAAATAAAATATTTTATTATCAAATATTCTTTACAAACCAAGAGGGGCAAAATACAAATAAGCCGCAGTTAGAAGCAGACTATCATGGTTCTTCTATCAACTACTACAGGAAAATGGGTAAATTGGCTCTCGTTGCCTTCCTAAATGCATTGCTGTAATGGCAGACTAGTGGTCGAAGAAGCACTCTCAACAAGCAATTGTTTCACGTCAAGAAAAGGGTGCTGAGAAGACCTTTATTGACGAGAGAATATTTCCTATATCTCCCGTACCAAAGAAAATATCAAGACAAATGGTGAAATCGGGAAAAGGTTAATGGTTCATCTTTGTTGAAAAAGGAAATAATTGATCAATCATTTGAATGGCAGATGATGGCAACAACCTGGTTTTGTGGAGAATAAGGATGAAGATGACGAATGTGTAACAAAGACGCAACCTTATAGAGGCTTGAAGGCGAATGGACAGAATGCGAACGGTCATATACATGCATAGTAATCGAAATTGAAGGTCCAAATCTTGGGGAGTGTACAAAGGGAAATACCAAAAGTTTTATTTCGTATAAAGATCTCACAAGGGAAATGTGCATGAATATGGCACAAGGTTAGTAATTAAATTTTTGGGGAGTGTTAATCATGCTATTTCAGAAATCTATGCAAAGGCCATCACACAAGTAAATAAAATGGTCATTCCATTAGATGAACTCGGCTGTCATTGCATTGTAGCCAACGGTGGCTGCTATCATGAAATTAAAAGAACCAGTGTGAGACGTAATCGTCCTACAAGAAAGCTCAAAATATAGTTACAGCTTGCCCTAAAGAGAACGTATTTGTTCTCTAAGCTTCTCCCATT